TTTCGGACAGTTTACCTGATAACTACGTGTTCTGCATTTTGGACAAACTCAGTTGAATCTACGCAGCGGAACTGGTACAAGTGTGTTGTAACCCTTAAATTTGGTTAGGCAAATAATCGATAGACTTTTGAGAACTTCGGTATCAAGCAGATGACGTCCCATACCAGCGTTATCAGTTTCGCATGGTAAGCTAAATGTAACAAATGATACATTGCTGTCGTGTGAAAAATGCAACTTCTTGCGAGTCCTCGGTTCTCCAAACCTTCGTCGAGTCATTGGAAGGTAAGCTGAGATTAGGCCCAAAGCAGAACTTTGGCATAGGCACTGCGCTGCGTAATAACTTGCTAAAGGGAAGATAAACCAGTGGTCATATGTGAGGACGAAAATTGATCAAGATAAAGCAAGGAATGTCAGTATTATTGCTGAAAATAACGTAGCCCACAAATATAATCGTATTTAATGGGGTGCAAAGGCAAAATTGGATGCATATTTTGCGAAATAAGTGATAGAATGTACATATACACCAAGTGATCTGAAATGGAACATTACAAGACGCAAAATATCAAAGTAAATAGAGGCACTAAATGGAATATGTGTTCATTGCGTCCAAATGTCTTGTATCAACTATGATAGTAATTGAATGACCAGCGCGCCAGCGATAATTACGAAACTGCCAGTGTCAGAGCAATCAAAACGACAGATACGCCGGAGAAGATACCTGCGAAGGTCCATTCACCGACCTGAGGTATGCTTCCAATATGCGTTTTGCTCATCAAACCGAATGCGATAGCGGCAAAAATTGCTGTTGGGAAGAGAAGGAGAATCGTAACCCCAGCGAGAGGACATACCAATAGTGACCAAGTAATTTGTATAAAGAGATTAACTATGAGATCCGTGTTAAACAGCAAAATGACGTCTGTCTGTTTCCGTATGCTCATGGCTAAAGAAATATGCTTAAAGTAAGCTTGTGCTTAATGCTGCCATACGTTTACAACGCTTGAGAGCTGTTGCAACTGCAGTCTAGCTTTCTACTGAATCCGCGAATTATTGAGGATAGGTTGTGTAACCCTAATTTTCACAAATCATGCTTAACAGAGGATATTCAAACGCAGTTTATAACAGAATTCCTTAAATTCTCCAATGCAGGTTCCCTAGACGTTAAGATTAGACGAATTGCTACGGTAACTTGGTAACTGAAAATACATTCACTCGATTAATAGTCCTTTGGTTTTTGGCCACTATCCCACTAGGTTACTAATAGAAATACATATTTAACTTTCACCTTGGTAACAAAAGTTGCTGATTGTAGTAACTGTTCTCTTCTCTTAAAGATTGCACACCATATTATGACTGCACTCGCTCTCCATACCGCAGTGATAGTGGCTACCCACCAAACGCAGCTCTATATAGAAAAAGATTTAGGCTGCCCTTCAGTTCTCTCAGCTCAAAAACCTTAGTAGATTGTCCTGTTGACTGATTATTTTGTCCTTATACAAGCCAAGGCAAAAACTGTGAAGTTCAGGTTCATTACTACATTTACTCGTAGAATCCACACTCAGAATTCGCTGTGTGACTCGAAAATTCGTTGCTGTTTAACCTATCTCCAAGTTAAAGCCGTGGCAAATTAGTCTAAAATTTAAGAACCAATCTCATAAGTTGAAACACTGGAGCTAGGTAGGTTAGTTGAGTGGAATAGCTTTGTATGTCATTATAGTCATGATCATCATACTTTGGCATCTGACAAAGGTCGTCGCATTATCAACCGATAGATCAACAAAGACAACTCCCGTGCTCAGTACATATCACACAACCAAACATATGAGAGGAGAAACGAACCACAGGTCGTGGGTATTAACACCGTTCACAAGTAGTCAGATTCAGAAATACTTGTGACAAATTATTTAAACGTCTGCTCATGTATGGGGTGAATTGAAGCTTGTTACAAAGGCAAAATGCCCTAGCAACCCGGGCATAGCTTTTCACTTTGTAAATCAGTGGCAAGATGCAACACCCGCGCTGTAGTGATTTCCTCTGCACACTTCATATACGGTCTCCGGGGAATAAATAAGCTCGTCTAAGGGGGTTAGCTAATATTACAAAATGTTTGTCGGTGAATGGTAGATAAAAAGTTGTCACAGTAATAGCATCAGGCACAGAGTTTCGCATTTAAGGCTTCTCCCAACCACGGTTTTAATGCGCACAGGTGACCTGACCAAGCACCAACTCACCGGTCGCACCACCACCAACTCCGATCACGACTCCCATCAGCAAGTCACTGCATGGGCAGCACAGTGTTATGAATAGAAACACTATCATGCTCCCAAAGATGATGGCCTCAATGAACAAGCAAGCTATCGTCCCCTTGATACGCTCAGATTTGTATTCTGCTAAAAAGTAGATGAAGAAGAGCCACATCACCTATCCGACAAGTGACAGATTAGCAAAAGTTGGCTGATAAATGGATCATCAATAAAAAAAAGCTTTTTGTGAATTCGTGAAAAAATCTGTACGTTTACCTGTGAAATATGGTTTGATGGATACCAGAGATTTGAGTCGTACTCGCAAATAAAAAACGAAATGCATGTGTAATTGTCGTGGGGATATATGAGCCGAATTTGTGCACTTCAGGCCACATTTCCGTGAACAGTTGCATCTCATCACTGAGGGCGTTGGTACATCCCTTCCTCCAGACAATTCAAATGCAAGTAAAAAGAAAGCGTTTCGTTTGCTGTAACAGTTTCCAGAAAATGCTGAGAATTTCCTATGAACCACGAGTGAGACTTCAAACAGTGGCACACGCCGTTGGATAAATCAGTTACTTGTAAAAATAGAAACTATCTACGGCTCACTTATCGAGGTGTGCTTCATCAGCTACACGGAATGAAATGTCTTATGGTAATCCATATGCGGCCATATAACAATGTAAGTGTGGTCCATAGCTTGTACAGGTTTGGATGTATAGTAGTGCATCAAACAGCGTAGTTTACTCTGCACATTTAAGGAAGTGAAAGCAGTCAAACTGTAGGGGCACAAAACGCACAGACTTACATTTAATCTCATCTCGGTATTCCACTATGGCTGCTATACAGCAGATAGCGCCGATTGCGCATGCAACCATTAACAAGATCCTGCCCAAAACTCCCATGGTCCGGTGAAAATCTATGGCTGTTCAGAGGATATCCTTCCTTAAATTGCGCGCAAGACAGACATGCAATAGGAAAGCCACACACTTGATGCTGGTGGGATGTTAATCTGATTGGATAAACGGGTCCACAGTAAAACCACATTGGAATGGACGCTGATCGATTAACATGTGGCGTTGCATCACAAGACAAAACGCACACCGGGCAGTTATCAATGTTGGAGGCAGCGATCATACGGGTTTCTGGGGGATGCAGTGCACAAAGTCATAATCCACAGAAGACAGGCACTGAAAACTACCGATCGTTCGTGGGTGTATTTTTCTACACAACTTATACCGGAAAAGTGGGCTTGTACCCGTGTCCAAGGGCAATTGTATGAGATTGTTGGAACTTGCTTTAATTGCAAAGGAGGCAGTTGCATATGTTTCACCAACAGCTGCTTTATCCCGGCGCCTCTTACCCTAAACATTTTATTAACTAGTCAACAAAACTAGCTATGCAAAAATATCCAGCAAGTGAGCATCAAAAAGTGTAATATAACAACGTTGAAAACCATACTGGATAATAGAGATCTGAACGAATAGAAAAAAAAACATTTGTTTCCATTCTTCCTTTTAGCTCCAGACTCCAGTAACCTAGGTCCGACTGTTACGAAAACCGGTTGAAGCAACAACTTAGAGCAAGTTTATCCGCTTCAACTTGTAGTTTGACACTATCTACGTCTTCGGCCACAGAGATGATGTCTTTCACTGTTAGTCCGGTTGATAAAATTCGGTCACCATGACGAGTTCACTTCTTGGAGTGAGTCCACATGACTTTGAGCAATCAGCCGGTGCACATGGAGATGGGAACTGCGGTATCTGGCCACTGGGATGTACTCACCTCAAATTGATCAGCGATGCCGGATTTGAACCAACTTTGCAGATTGCTTTTGGTACACATAGAAACTTTGAATTTTTAAGTGACTTGGTGGGACAATCAGGTTCCCCATTCCTGACGCAGAATATCTTGGGAATAAATTAACATGAAAATGCGAGCAAACTGTGGCATAATCCACTTACAAACATCTTATATAAAATAGTCGCCGGTAGAGTAAAGGGTAAAATGACAAAACCCTAGCTAATATCCTTAAAAGTAGGAGTAAAACAATAAAATTAAATTGTCAAGGGAATAATCCCTACCGATGGGTTCAATGTAAAGTACGCATAACCATACAGTTTTGAGACTTCTCGCCGCCCAATAAGCACGGGCTATATCAAATAATTCTGGGGAAACAGAACATCTTCAACGCGTGTTCCGAATTCAAGCAGCAGAGTCAGAAAAAGTAAACATCAGAAACGCGTTCCAAGACAGGTAGAGTCAAGGGGAGAAATTGTTCGGGTCGCATTCGAAACAAATATACAGCGCCGCCATCCTGAATCTTTGGCTTCTGATGGTAGTTGTATGGTCAAGTTTCGGTAGCTGACTGCAGTTAAGAATCTAATATGTTGCTGCAACGTTAGTCCGCATAAACCAGTATAATCCTCTCTCAAGATCTTATATACATAATCCGAGTATGTAACAAAGAGGTATTGGTGGTCAATTATAGTTATGGAATATCAAACAAGGCCTAATCGTGCTTTTACCAAAGCCTAAGAGACACATTGACGACTTCCACAGGCGGTCTTACTTAAGCTTAGTATAGCCCGACACAGCTAGGAACGTATTTGGAATGAGGCTCAGGGGGTGAGAATCCTCCATTCTGTTTTCCGCTTGCTTTGTGAAACTCAAGTCAACGCGAAATGAACAGTGCAGATGGTTAGATAGATTGTACGCTCATTAGCTACGCATTTAATAGCTACACCAAAGATGATGTAAGAGGGTGTTGGCTTGATTACTTTAAGATTCACTAGCACACAGCCATATGAGGATGGAATTTTGGATGAAAAGTTTCGACGGACTACCTCGGACAGTAATAGGTCCTCAGGAGTTCTTTCTACGGATGGGTTATATATATGTATATATATATGTATATATATATATATATCGCAGGAGAGGCGATGGTCCGCTGAGGCTGGTGGAGGCTAGAT